TCGTTCCCGACGACCGGAATCACATATGCCAGCGACAAACACGGAGCCAACACAGCAAACACGGAGCGCAAGTTGACTCAATCCCTTTTCCGCTATACCTTTCTAATGATCTATATATATCCTCTATAAAATTGAATGCTCACATAATCATTGATTTAATTGGCATCATCGGTCGACTCGAAATCTGACTCAATAGAGTACGTCGGAATTCTAAATTGCGCGGCTCGTGCCGCGGTCTATTCGAAGTTGCCATTCCGAATTACTTCAAAAGTCCTGTACTCGGGATATATCGAAGAACACATGCTTCAAGAATTTAGTGTAATTTGAAATTCATGTATCAATGTATGCCTTACGGTACAACTTAAATTTTAAGCGGCTATTGAATTAATTGATTCGAAGTTCTAAGGGTAGGCCCGTTTGGATTAGTATCGACGGTATAGTTGAGCGCCACGCAGCTTTATTTTTTGCCCTAGCCTTACGTAGTGGGGCAATTTGAAGATACTAGCTGCAAGCGTTGCAACGCCGTTGCGATCGCACGTTCAAGGAATGTTACGTTAACTGGCTAGTAATGATCGCAATGTAATATCGGCGATCGAAGCCTCGTTGGACGATCATTGCCAAGATCATTGAAGTTGAGTCTCGCGACATCGTCGCGGAACCCGCGAAAACCGCGTACTAATAAGTAGCTTGTGAAGCTAGTAGCCTTTTACTATTTCGAGTTGCAAAAAATTTCTCGAGCTAGCTAGCCGGATGGTCCGGTTTGCGTCACTCGTGCTCGTCTGGCGTTATGTGTCGATCAGACGTGCATGCATGGGAAAATCTGGCATTGAATGCCAACGTACGTGCTGCAATTGGATGTGTACTTCGTGAAGGTTAAAGATCTCGTGCGCGCCGATTCGTGACTCGATTTCGGCTTCAATTCATAAACCATCTGCCAAATATACTATATATCCGAATTATATCAGAATTGTATATGACTAAGGCGAACTAGTCAAATAATATAACTTGGCAACACAGTGGCTAAGCTTAGTAGTTAGCTGTAAAGCCACTACTATAGCTGCAATTGCTTTTCCGCATTGATCTTTGCTTATGTGCAAGTTAAATTGAAAAACCCGCAGCTAGCCAGTGATGAGCTAGTTCGATGATCGATCGATGTTACGCAATGCAACTTGGGTATATCATTACAAGCTAGCCCCAATGACAATGTGGTCACGTATCATGCATGGAAAGAAATCATGCATATAGCAGCAGTGACTGAGCGAAGTTGGCAACGTATTCGACGAGACCGGCTTGCGCGGCATTCGTTAATATGATACATGCAAAGCCTTATAATCAACAGGTGTTTTTGTAACTTTGCTGGTCATCATGGCTGCTAGCACTATTGGACTGCGCTGTCCGGACATTGGTAGCTGTTTGCTAGGTATCTTCGAAGCTTCTAAGCAATATAAATACCGGCTCCTCTCGTGTCTTATGATAATCGAAACTCAAGAGTCATCGCACAAGTCGATCACATAAGCTTGAACTGCTCGCTAGCAGACGCTCGATTGACCCGTTCAATTCAAACCGTACCTAAGTTTTTCGGTATACGGTTTTCATCACCGTACCTTCTAAGAAGGCAGAAAACACCGCGGAGAATGGCAAATTTGAGCGATCCCTCAATCTATCGAGCAAAGAAGGGCCACACCCCTCATAACCCATTTTGACGGCGGCTCCTCTGTCCGTAGATCAAAGCTGGCAATGAAGTTGAGCCCCGTCCGTTTCTTGATGGTGTAGCACGGGCAGCTGAACTGGTTCTCCGTCCGCTTCTGGCTCGCGAGCACGCCGGTAACGTAGAGCAGCGGCAGCGGGTGGTACAGCTTCTTGGGCTCCGGGTCCACCAGCCGGTTCTCCTTGGCGTTCCACGCACACCCGTCCAGGAACAGCCCGTAGATGTACACGCCCTCCTGCGGCCCCTCCTTCAGGTTCTCCACCTCGCGCGCCGGGAACGTCACCTCCGTGCTCATCACCACGTCGTCTAAGGCCCACTTCTCAGCCGCGTGGCGCCGGCACACCTGCGACGATGGCGCGCAGGACAGTCAAAGGATGTGTCATATCGAGGCCGCCGCTTGACGTATACAACGCCGTTCGTAAGGCCTCCTCTTGAATATGTTGGGGGATTTGCAGAGCTTTGGAAGGCTTCAACCTGCCAGGACTTGCAGATGCCGTGTTGAATCGTCCCACCAGTCTCAAGCCTTAGTGCTGTCGATGCAACTGAGGCATGTAGTGAATTACGCTGGCACGTAGCGAGAAAAAGTTGCTTTGTGGAGGCTCCTGCCCCCATGGAAAACCCAGCAAGGTTGCCCGTTTTTGAGCCTCTCCCGACACAAGCAACATGGCACGCTTGGCGCTGGTGAGGCGCGGCCTCACCTCTTGCTTGACGGCGGTAAGGAAGCCCTGCGGGTTGAAGAAGCCGGTGAGCCAGTACGCCTTGGGCCGCCCGTTGTTGAGCCACTTGAAGAGCTGGTCGTACCGCAGCAGCAGCCCCGAGAACCACACGCCCAGCGTCGACGCCTCCCAGCTCTTCTTGAGCCACTCCGCGGGGATCCTGCACGCGGCAATGCCAGCCCCAATACGCTCAGTAATTTAACATTGCCATGACTCCCCTACAAAGCATTCGCTGTGCGGCACGTTCAACTTCAAGACACCGCAATACTGAATTTTCAAACGCCATTTCCCCTTCCAAGTTTCGCTGCAGGTCTCAGGAGAAGATCGGGGAGAGATACGATCTTGCAAGGTTACCAACATTAGTGAGTGCTCCCGGAAGGAGCCGCTAGATCCTGATTTGATCGAGATAATTACGAGAGACCTGATTCGTAACATCTTGAAATACCCAGTGCCCCCACCTGGCGTCGAAGAGCGTGTCGAGCGCGTCGATGAGCGGCCCCGAGAGCGCGATGGTGCCCGCAACCGCGAGGCGCAGGTTGGTGAGCGTGGCGGCGGCCAGGCTGAGAATGGTGTTCAGCCGGTCGATCTCCTGCTTCAGGTGCACGTTGAGCGGCGCGGCCGGCCCGTCGCGCAGCTTCTTCAGCTTCTCCTTGGTCTCCTCGCCGCCGAACGGCTTGGGGATGCGCGCGAGCAGGTCCTCCGCCAGCTTGTCCACCGTCTCCTCGCGGCTCAGCCCGCCCGCGGCCGCGCCCGCCTTGGGGGCGGTGTCCAAAATGGTGCCGATGCACTCGCGCACTTGCAGCGCGCGGAACGTCAGGTCTGCATTGGGGTGCAGCCCAAAGATCTCGGGCGACTCGTTGCTGGGGAATGCGTCGATCGCCTGCGCCAGCACCAAGGCGGAGGGCGAAGTCAGCAACCGGCTTGTGGCGGTAAGGTAGGGAAATAACAAGAAGGGCTATTGTAATTAGGACAAATGGCAACACAAGTCAAGCCCAGCAAAACTTCCCCCTTGCAGACAATCGCCTTGTCATCTTGCGAGACAATGCTGCAGTGCAGGACAGCCAGCTCCGGTAAACGATACAAAGCTCCTTTCGATAAGAGCCGGGGTATGCAAGCAACATTCTCGACGGGTCACAGCTGCTGTCGCTACAGCCCGGCCGGCAGCGGCTGCTTCTTCGCCGGCGGGCTGACCTGGCGGAAGTGGCCGATTTCAAGGCCGTCGGGGACCTTGTAGCCGGGGTACAGCTGGCAGGCCTTGTCCATGACGCCCTGGTGGAAGTACTGCTCCGCGTACGTGTTCATCAGCGTGCGGTCAAAGTCGTCCGTGATGCGCCCGCCGTACTGGATCTCGCTGATCATGTACCGCACCTGGGGGAGAACAACGGACAGCCACGTCAGTGCCCGCACACCGAGGAGAGCGGAAAAGAAGGAAATAGCTGCTACAGGTTGCCGCACCGCACGCCCTGTCAAGGCTCCAATGGGTGAACACAACGACGCACGATTCCAGTCCACAGTCTTGGAGTTACGGTATTACAGACACCGGCGCTGTTAGTGATGAGCAGGGCTTTTCCGGCGGCGCTCACCGTGGTCCAGGTGATTTGCGAGCTCTTCTTGGCGTCCATCTCCATGATGTGGTTCTCCAGGAACTGCACGCTCGCGCTGAGGTCGCTCTGGTTGAACTCGTAGGGCACGTTCCAGCCGATGGGCCCGAACTTGCGGCGCTCCTGCACCACGCTGTGCACGAAGCACATGACGAACAGCAGCTGCCGCCACTCGCCGCGCGGGATCACGTCCATCATGTCCTGGCTCACCCACTGCAGCGGCAGACAAAAGCGACAGGTCAAGCAGCGTGTTGTACTCGGCTGGGTCAGATTGCGTCTTTGCAAGCAACTAAGGACAATCACAGGGCTCCCAAAAGCAGCCTTCCTTTCATTGTTCAGTGGGCGTCAAAGTGAACGCTGAGGAATTTGAGTGGTGCCAATTTCGGCTTTGAAGAGGCAAACTTTCACCGTTTGCTTAATCAGCGATCTCTGTTGCACTTCATGATCATGTTGCACTTCATGATCAGAGGAGTGCTGCCAGCCTTGCATGCGTCCCTTTGTTTTACCTGGTAGCTGCCCTTGAGCCCCGCGCGCATGCCGACGGGCGCCTCGTTGGTGATCTTGATCCCGATGTGCAGCAGGCCGATGGGGAACTTGGGGTGCGGCTCCGCGGTGATCCACAGCCGGAAGTCCTCGTGCATCTCCTCCGTCTTGGTCAAAAACTGCTCCACCTCCGTCAAGTAGCTGCAGCCACGGAGCAGTAGTTGCTTGAGTGCTCGAAATCAATCGCAACAATTTCTAAAAAGCCTTGACCCGAAGCACTGGAAGTAACGCTTGCAGATTTTACCACAGCAAATGCCGAGGAAGAAATGATCGATAGGTTCCCGAGATCAAGTCATCCTAGAACCCTGCTTCTTCAAGAAAACGAACAGCTACAGGGGCCGAAAGCGCTGGCGCTCACTTGAGGCCGAGGTGCGTGTTTTGCAGGAGGACCCAGCAGCCCTCCTGCACGGCGGCGGCCATGTACTTGCGCGCGATGATCTCCTGGCCCTGGCCCATGGAGACGCCCATGACCTTGATCTTCTTGCGCTTCGCCAGGTCCTCGATCAGCTTGGTCGGGTCCGCGCCCGGCGACAGCAGGCAGATCAGCGGCGTCTTGGCGCCGCTGTCCGCCCAGATGGCCTCCATGCTCAACGGAATGCTCTCCACGTACCGCGGGCCAAGGCTGCGTCAAGAAAAGCGAGGGTCAGGATGTCGCAGCACGATGAGGAGCTAAGAATGTTGCCGCAACTTCTTGTCTGGGGGTCCTGACTGAAGCAGAGTGGCAGCTGTTATCTATACAGCTAATCTCGAAGCATCTCTAAACGAATCTGGGAGTAAAGGAAACCACCCGGACTGCACGCTTCGGTCAGGAGCCGCGTTCCTTATCTTTTCAGATTAAAAACCTGCTTATCGTGGCTTTCCAGGATCACGGCATGTGTTCCCAGATTTGCAGTCCTCAGCAATTATTATTCTCGGAAGGCCAAAAGTTGTCCATCGGCGTGTGCAGCGGCGGTCACCTGTCTGCGATGAAGTCGGTGGCTGCGATGAGCGTGCGGTCGTCGCGGAAGGCCTTGACGAGCAGCATGCGGTCGAACTTGGACAGCCGGTCCTCGTAGTCGGGCACCCGCGCCGCCTCGGGCGCCTCCTGGTCATACCACTGCTTCCAGATCGCCTCCGCGCGCGTGATGGCGTCCGCCAGGTCCTGCAGGGGAGATACGGTGAGCACATCTTTGCCATCTTTGTCATATTCCTCTTTCTTGGAGTTCACCGGCGCATCCCTTCGGTATCTCAGAAGGTTGAGACTTGGACTGGAATCGGACCACTTGAAACGGCGCAAGCTGGTGCGGTTCTCGTAACACGGCGGTTGCGGCTTTGGAAGCTCTGATCGGCCTCAGATTCCCGACTTTAGAGCTTTCGGAATGGAGTCCTTGGTTCCACCTCCAAGCAGCAGATGATATACCTTACAGTGACAAGCAAGCATGCCGGGAGCCAGGACATTGTGGCTTGTGTCTGCAAGCCAAACTGAATCGAAGCGCGCGGTGTTAGCTGCCAATTGGGCTCAGTGCAAAAAGTATTTGTTTAGAGCTGAAGCGACCTTTGTCTTCAATCTAGGAATACTTGCGCCGTGAGACTGGAAGGACTGAAAGAACTGAGTTGATCCCGACCACCCCTTGGGACCCACCTGGAACTGCGGCAGCGCGGTCATGGCGATGACGTTGAGCCAGACGGCGTCGGGGATCCAGTCCTTAGCCTTCTTGCGCACGGCCTTGATGTCCAGCGCGGCGCCGCCCTTGAGCAGGCACGCCACCTCCGGCTCGCTCAGCTTCTTGTCCGCCACCAGGATGCGCATGGCCAGCATGAGCGCGAACGTCAGCTTGTGCCGCTCGAACAGGCCGCGCTGCACGTACTTGTAGAGCGAGAAGGTGAGGTAGTCGCTGATGTTGGCGATGCGCTTGCTGGGCATCACCGCCTTCTCCGCGTGGTCGATGGCGCCCTCGTACAGCCGGTTGAACTGCTTCAGGCTCGTCTGGTACATCACGTTCACGCAGCTGAACTCCGCGATGAGGAAGTACACCAGCGTCGCGCGCCGCGCCACGGGGCGGTACTCCTCGCACGCCTCCGTGATCTTGCGGTTGGTCTCCGTGGCGTTGGCCAGCTTCTCGTTCACGTCCTGCGCGGTCTGCTTGGTCACCGCCAGCACGTCGATCAGCTCCGTGTCGTCCAGCAGGTTGCCCGTGCTCGTGCTCAGCCGGAACAGCAGGTCGTCCTCCAGCTGCTTGATCTTCTTCTTGTAGCTGCAAGAGGAAGAGCGGCCAAACCGGAGCGTCAGCGCGTGAGACAAGCGACAAGGAGGACTAACATTCACGAGCAGGCACAACAACCGTTCCTCTAGCGGCGCCTAAAAGTGCTACTACTGCCGGGACTGACCACCGGGTTTGACCAAGTTGGAATCTGACTTTACTTTTTTGTTGAGCCAATCCCGACAAGAGGGCTTTGCTTGTGGCGTCAAGTTGAGAATACTGGTACTCTCCGATCTGTGTTATTAACTACTGTATTTGCCGCTTCACCATTAGCATTCTTGGAATCACAACTTAGCGCGTGGTACATTCCGGTGTGCCGCCGGTTCTCACCTGTTGACTTCTTCGAGCAGCTTCTGGCGCTGCTCCTCCAGCTCGTGCTTCTCCTTGAGGATGAGCTTGCCCAGCAGCTGGTCCTCCAGGCCGGCCATCGTCACTGTGAAGTCAATCACCGTCACCTGCAGGCCGACACGGCGCAATTCAGCCTTACAACTCAGCCTTTCTACACCCTTCAGTGCTGAAAAGCAATCAACTTTGTAATGAGACAAGGAAGAAATACGATGAACGCCAGAACAGAGTAGCTAGATGACAGCTGCCCCCTGCCCAAGCGTTCCACGTACCTTGGCGCTGAGCTCGGGCGTGAAGTGCGGGTTGGGGAGGCGCGTGGTGAGGTATAGCTGGAAGGAGGGCGAGTAGTCGACCTCCTTGTCCGCCAATGCAATCTTGAAGCCCTTGCCGCTCTTCACGATGCGCTTCTCCAGCACCGGGTCCAGCACCTGTGGCACGGGCGCAGGAATGAGTAAGACGTCACCGCCAGCTTATGAGAGTCTCAGACGTCCATGTTCTTGCAGGCTTGACGTTGTCTTACGAACCGTGAAAGACCGAACCAGCTGTGACTTGTAAAAAGCCAGTAAAGCAATTGTAAGGGAAAGCTTTTAAGTGGACACTCTGCCTGATGCGTAGAGGGTGCACAGCAGTGCCGACGCTAGTAATAGCCTTGTCACAGCCTGTTAAAGCCTACCGACCACAAGAGAGCGGCAATTCCTAAGAAGCCCTGCTTGCAGCTTCCAGCAATTAAGAAAACTAGGAAAATTTCAGTTGCCACTGAATGGCATCATGTGGCGCGCCCCGCGTGGCGCGCAGCGCTCACCGGGTCGAGCTCCTCCTCGATGTTTTCGATGAGGAGCGGCTTGCCGTAGACGAGGCAGTCCTCGAGGTGGTTGCGGAACTGCTTGTCGTTGAGGCTGGTGACGCGCAGCTGGTTGGCGGCCTCCTTGGTTTTGAGCCACAGCAGGCCCTGCCCCTGCGGGTCCACGAGCACGGGCCAGCGCGTGGCGCGCGTGACCAGGATGCCGTTCTGCAGGCTCAGCTCGTCGGTGGGCAGGCCCTGCAGGATCCACTCCCCGGGCTCCGCCTCGTCCACCAAGAACTGGGTCACCGCCAGCTGCTCGCTCACCGGGATCTTGCGCGCCACGCAGTCCTGCGCGCGGGAGCGGGAAACGGGAGTGTCAGCATCTGACCGTTTTGATTAAAGTAGATGAGAGTCCCACTTACTTAGATCGCATCAGAACGCTTGAAGCGGCGGAAAACAAGAGCACAGCCGGACGCTTATCCTGCAATTCCTGTCGTCAGCCGATTTTCTGGAGTGTGCGCATAAAGATTGACGTAAATGTAGACAAAGAGTATGGCATGCTGTCAGTTGTGGGCGCAGTCTCATTCAAAGCAAAGCAAACGCTGGCTTGCTAACGACCACAGCCCGTCAAGAAGACACAGCAAAGCTGCGGCGGGCGACGCGCTGACCTGGACGAGGTCCCGCGTGAGCAGCAGCTCGCGGAACTCCTTGTTGAAGGGCCCGCAGTAGGAGACGAAGCTGCTGGCGAGCGCGCAGTCGCCGGCGAGGCGCTGAATGGTGGCGGCGAACTCGTTGCTCTGCGCCGTCCAGCGCGTCTCCTCGCCGGCGAGCGCCTTGATGAGCGCGGTGGCGGTGTCCATCTTGCGCTGCGTCAAATTGGCGTCCTCCTCCAGCATGCGCTTCTCCTTCATCGCGGCGTCGAACTGCGTCTGCATGCGGTCCAGCTCGCGCTGCACCGCCGCCATCTTCTCCTCCGCCTCGTTCAGCTTCTTCGTCGCAATCTGCAGCAACACGAGGGGGCGGGGATCAGGTCACCGGAAATGTTAGAGATCCGTTCTGTTCTTATGCTTACTCCTTATAGGGATTTGGCGTGCTTGTTTGGACCAGAGATTGTCACGTTTGACAAATACCTGGCTTGGAAATGGCAAGCTGGACTGCTGCTAAGAAGCGACGGCGACAGCATCACGCGATCTCAAAAGTGAACATTTTGGAAAGTGGGGAAGATGTGCTGGGACGCATCTGTGAGCATCTCCTTTGTGCAAGCGCTCAGGAAATTGAGTCTTTAGCCCTGAGAAAAGCTGGTAGTCACAGAATGGTTGCGCGCGGGCGGCTGACCTTGAGCTCGGCCTCGGAGGCCATGAGGGCGGCGATCTTGGGCTCGACGACCTTGGCGACCTCGTGGTAGGTGCACATGGCCTTGCACCACGAGCACAGGCCAGCCACGTTGCCGCTCGCCTTCTTCGCGGCATCGTAATTGTAGTCCGTCGACCGGAAGTACGGCTGCGGAAATACGGAGAGGGTCATCAGACGATGCAAAGCAAAGGAAAGGCCACGCTATGCCCCTAGGTCGGGTGTCAAAATATGTGAGTATCCCGTATTCCTTCGTCTCCACAACTCAGGGATTAAGCATGCGGATTGAAGGCTCCTTACTGGACGGCATCACCTTGGGGCTGCAAAGAACGATTTCAAGAACATGTGATATACGTTGTCAGATACCCACGTCACATTCACAGAGCCCGCTCAGACTTTTTGCGAAGCCACGAATGCCCTGAAGGACCAACTTCTCAATCACTTTTGACGCAAGGCTCTGCCGAGCACTTGTGGCCTCACCTGAAGCAGCTCGATGGTTTCGTCGTTGATTTGCTCCTTGGGGAAGTTCATGAGCGTGCCGAGGAAGCCCATGTCGGACATCATGTTGATGCTGTACTGGTAGCTGGACGAGACCACCTGCTCGCCCTTCTGGTCCTCGTACTCCACCTTGTTCAGCGGCTGCTGCTTGAGCACCAGCACCGTGTCGAAGATGCGCTTCACGATGTCCGGCGGCTTCTTCAGCTGCTTGAGAGTGCTGATGTCCTTGCTGCTGATGCTGCTCAGCGCCGCCACCGCCTCCTCCATCGCGGGCTTCGCCGCCGCCAGATCCTGCGGAGAACAAACAGCACAGGTAACTCCTCTGGAAAAGAATTATGAATTCTTAGCACAAATTTGAAGCAAAAAAAGTTCCCGTCGGAAACCTTCCTTGAATACATTCAAGGTGTGTCTCGTGCAATTGAGAATGCGAGAGAAAGAAAAGGAGGATCGACGACTTAGTTCCCTTTCCTCGAGCGGAGCATCTCTGCAAGCAACATGCTGGGCTTAATTGAGAACCATGCCACGCTTGTTTAATATGTCCTAACCTAAGAGCATTGAGCAGCTGATCTTCGCTGGCCACGAACTGCAGCTTTAAAAGAGCTCCAACGCTTCAAGAAACCTCACTTATATCCAAGGGTCCAGCATGATTTCCTCTCCGCCTCATGCATACGGTTTGGAAACAACAGCACACGATTGACTCACCCGCTCGGCGTCTTCCTTGGTTTTCCCGATCTCGTCCGCCATCTGCTTCGCCTGGCTCTGCACCACCGACACCTTGGCCTTCTCCTTCTCCGCGACCGCCGTGCTCGCGCTGATCTCCTTGAGCAACCCCTCCGTCACCTTCTGCGCCTCCGCGAGCGACACGTTCTTGGCGGCCAGCTCGATTTTCATCCTGCCCACATCCGTCTTGGCCTGGTTCAGCTTGGCCAGCCCGCTGCTGATCTTGTCCGACAGCTCCTTCACCTCCGCGAACTTGCGCGAGTACAGCGACTTGTAGCCGTTGATGAACGACAGGTAGCTCTTGGGGGTGACGTACACGTGGCGGCGGTAGCGGTCGAAGTACTCGGAGCAGGCGGCGGTCACCGCGTTGTGCACGTGGGCCATGTGGTTGATCAGCTCCGCCTTGACCTCCGCGCTGCTGCTCATCTCGAAGTTACTCACGAACTTGGTCGCCACGCCCTGCATCACACGGCGTGGCAAGGATAAGTGTCAGGCTTATCTTGGAGGCCCTTGGACGGCCAGAAAATCGATCTTTGTTCAAATCCTTACCTACAAGAGATTGTCCGGTGAAGTCAGCTTGGAGCAGAAAAGTAGGCAAGCAGATAGCAAAGAGGTCCTTGTGGGTGCGAACAGCAGAGCCGGGGAAGAGAGGAGAGCTGGACAGAGGCAGGATGAAGAGGCAAATGTATTCACCGTCTTTTTCCAGGGCTTCAGGAAAGACACAGTGCCTTATCGCAAGCCTATCAATCAACCGCTTTCAAACTTAGCAGGAACCTTCTGAACGAAGGTCTCGAGACTACCGTCAACAATGCTACTCAACAGCTTGGCTAAGGAGCCTTTGCACCTCCTTGAACGATGCCAGATAGAGAAACAATCGGATCGAGGGGGAGCGACAAAAAAGTCTAGGCGAAGGTGTCGAGGGCCCCCACCTTGAGCGCGTCGACGGGCCATGGCAGGAACCAGTCAATGGTGCAGCCGTTGATGAGCCCCGGGAACTGCATGGCGCGCCGCGCAAACTTGTCGCCGACGGGCGAGAAGCAGAGCACGACGTGCAGGTTGTCGCGCACGCGGTCGATGAAGAACTTGTACAGGTTCTCGTACGTGTCCACGGTGTCCGGCTGCGCGGCCTTCATGACGGGCCGGATGTCGTTCACGATGAGGTCCACCTCGTCCTTGGCCAGCAGGCCCGCCACCTCGCCCGTCATCAGCAGCTGGTTCACGTACTCCAGGAACGCCTCCTCCTTCACCTCCGCGTCCGTGAAGACGAACGCCACGGGCTGGCCCTTGAAGCCGGCGACCTTGTAGAGCGCCTTGATGTCCTCCAGCAGGTTGGTCACGTTGTACGTCTTGGTGATGGTGATCTGGAACGTGAACGCGCCCGCGATGTAGGCCGCGAGGCGCGTGAGGCTCTGCTTGCCGGAGCCGCCCACGCCGACCAGCAGCGCGGAGCCGCGGTCCATGCCCAGCAGCCGGCTGATGCGCATCATGTGACGCAGCGCGTCCTCGAACAGCACCAGCTCCAGCTTGCCCACCTGCGCCGAAAAACAGAGGCTGCTGGGATCGGTTGACTGTCTCCGTGGAGTTGCAAAGCAGAAGAGGCCGCATTCCGGTTTGTGCACCATCCTTGTTCGAATCTTCGAGCTTGCAATGCCGCTTCAATTCTGATCTATTTCAGCTTGCTAACCTGCAGTGCGGGGTTGTTGTGTTGCTCGGAAGAGGGGGCGCAATCAAGATTGCTCAGCTGCTTGACTCCTAGACTAGTAGTACTGCCTCCGGTCTTTAAGGCTGTGAAGTACTCACAAGTCCAAATTCAATTGGAAAGTTGGTGAACTATGATTGTTGTGCCGCTTGCGGGGCCGGTAAGACAGCACAATTTAAGAACCTGAGGGAAATTGGACAGGATACGACCGAACCATCTTCGTTGCCACACTATCACCTCTAGCTTCAAGCCTGCGCCTGACGGCGGCGGTGGCCAGATGCGCATGCGCTGACCTTGTTGTCCTCGTTGAACTTTTTCTGCAGCGCCTCCACCCGCTCCTTGAGCGTGCTCAGGTCGCGCACGGCCTCGTACTTCTTGGGCCGCTCCGCCGCCACGTTGCCCTCCGCGTCCACCGCCGCCTCGCGCAGAAAGTCGACGAAGTACAGCGGCTCCTCGATCTGCGCCGTCATCTCCTTGCCGTACGACTCGGACGCCAGCGACATGATGGCGTCCGACACCCAGGCCTTGTCCACGGGGTTGGTCATCTTGTCCGCGAACACGCGCTCGCACTCGTGGCGCCACAGCGCGAGCAAGTAGCCCTCGGGGGACTTCACCGTGCCCCCAAACGTGCCGGCCTTCGCGGTCTTGTCGAAGCGGTCCGGCGCCGCGAGGATGATGCCCTGCGGATAGAGTGTAACACTGTGACTCGAACTAAGATGATTCAGGAATTGAAAAGTAGCTCACATAACGTGACAGCTGCAGTCAAAGAATTCCAAGATTTTTTCCGGCACTTGCAGTCAGATTCCGGGATCGTTTTTCGTGCCGAATGATGATACTTGTCTTGCACACACCTGGCAGAATCTGAACGTTCTACGAATCAAGCTTGCGTTCATCTGCTTGCATGCCGCATGAAGCCCTGTGAACCTTCACACTGAGAAGTTCATTTCGCCTTTCTTGACTACCGACTTTTCTGATCGCTCCATCAGAAGAAGGGATCTGCATCCTAACGCGCAACTCCGCAGACTCGGCACAAATATAACAGAGCGCGTGCGCGCGCGCGCGTACCTGGAAGACCCGGGAGAGCTCGCGCATGTTGAAGAGGTAGTGGAACTTGGCGGGCGTGGGCAGCATCTTGGCGGTCACCGTGCTCCACAGCTTGATCGTCGCCGGCACCAGCTTGGCCGCCACCTCCACCACCGCCGCGCTGAAGTGCGCCGCGCCGAACCTGCGCGGCAATGGAAATGCGTAAATGGATACTGCGTACTACCGCACGTTGTATAATAATGTTCTCCTGAGTGGACGCCAGTTACCCACTGCAGTCCCTTCAAATGTGCCTCAATGTCATTGATGGATTGAAGGGTCTGCTCGCTATTGCACCAGCTACAGCCCGCCTGGAGGTTGCTCTTTACTTTTACATGGGAGAGCAAGCTTTCCAAAGCCCACCAGCGTAATATCTACTTATTCGATGCGGCAATGCGGCAGCTTAGAACGATGGAGGAGGAACTTCCAGGCCTTGGATGCCCCAAAACTTCGGTTTGTAGACAAGGAAGGAGGTCTCCCTAGGCCGAGACGAGATCTGGGCAGCGCGTCTCACCGTCCTGCGACAAGGCTGCCGAAGATGTTGTTGATGGCTGCTGTGCTGGGTAGCGGCACGTTGAAGGTGGCGAACTGGCGTTTGAGGCGGTTGGGGATGTCGTTCTTGCCGCCGCCGGGCTGGTTCATGGCGGCGATGTACAGCGTGTCCACCACCTTGTTCATGTCGCCCGGCTTCTCCAGGCTGTAGAAGCCGCCCTGGTCCAGCAGCTGCCGCACGATCTCGTTCGTCACCTGCCGACACAGGAACAAACAGCAGTCAGCAATCACAGATGAAATCGGTCATATCGACGAATTATTGTATGCTTTCGAAGCTTGAAATTTCCAGACACCAGCTCTAGTACAAGTCAAGGTGGCTACTGAGCTCGTGAGAAGAAGAGACGAGATCGATATCAACCATCGCCTGCGCAATAGCACGGCCCGGCCTCCGAAAGTCTCACGGGAGGAGTCTCTAAAAGCTTTGAAGTTTTCTGAGGGGTTCAGTCTTGGAATTGGCGCTCTCAACGCCTTTCTCCACAACAGCCCAAAATATTTGCTCAGTCCTGGCCCTACGGCTACCACGCGGCTCACCTGGTCTCCCCACACGTTGACGCTGGGCATGCTGACGTCGTCAACAAAGACGACCATCCGCTTCCCGCCGGGCGGCCCGAAGGTGCGGCCCTGCCGCTTCTCGACGGCCCCCTCGATGGAGGCCTGGAAGATCTTGGGCGTCGTCAGGCTGCTGAAGGTGATGGTCTTGCTGCTCATCTGGTCCGGGTTCAGCTTGCTCAAAAACTGGTTCACCGTCGCCGTCTTGGCCGTGCCCGGGCCGCCCACCTGAAGAAAGAAAACAAGGGACACATCAGACATGCAATTGCTTGAAGACGGGGCCGTACTGCCCGAAACCTCGAGAACAAAGCGTTGCCTCCCGCGGTCTCCATAGGCCCAAAGCGCTCGGATGTTTCAGCCCCAATGAGAGAAGCTTCTGCGGGACAGAATGCACGTACTGCTTGTTGCTATCCGAAATTGCTATTCGAAGAAATTGCAGAAATAGAGTAGGTTCATTTCTCAAGGCGTGGAATGCAGCATGCCAGGAGAGGATTTGGGCTAAAGCGCGCTCTCGACGCCAGTCCACTTTAGCTCCGCCGACGTTTGGGCTAAAGCGCGCTTCGACGCCAGTCCACTTTAGCTTCGCCGACGTTTGGTCCACGCCCAATACAACTCCTCGATCCAGCGGTATCTCGCAAAACCCGGATCCTAAGCAGGCCAGGCGTAAAAAGAATGGAGAATGGAATGCTGCAGTCGCGAAGATGCTCGGTTCAGCACAGAAACCTCTCAGTGAGCCTGAAGTGAGTGCTGAAATGCGCCTCACCAGCAGGGTGGCTCCATTCTCCACGAACACGAGCCGCAGCAGCGCCTCCAGGCGCACGGAGTCCATGGTGGGGATCACGAGCGACGCGAACTTGGGCGTCTCCACGTCAGCAGGGTACTCCCAGCTGGGCACGTGGCCGCTCCAGTGCTCCCACTGCGTGTTCTCCTCGTTCACCAGGAACTCGTAGACGCCGTCCGTTCCGTCGGATTCCGGCATGTTGTCGGACAGCTGGCGGAGCCTTTTGTCGAAGAGCTTGCGGTCGTCGATGCCGAGCAGGCCGCCGACGGACCACGCGAGCGCGTACAAAAAGATGCGCTCGTAGTGGCCCTCGCTCAAAAACTCGTTCGCCTCCACCGTGTTGTGCAGGCACGACGCCAGCAGCGTCAGCAGCGTGTTCACCTGCCAGCATTGGACCGTGGGATTAGCGGTGCCCGATGTACCAAGCCAGAGAAGCTTTTGATTCCCCTACACCCTCAACTCAGAAAGGAGAGCATAAATGTGACTTTCTTCCGCAAAGTTCCTTGTTGCGGGAAAGCATCCAACGTTCCTTCTTACATTCGTGCCCAGCATCTATGAGCGGGTACCGAACAGCCTACTTTTCCTCGCGGAACAGACCTTGGAATATTGGCCAGCCTCGGATTCTGCACAAACTGTGTTAAACGTTCAGAGTATGGGCTGTTCCACATGAAGTGCGTGAGTTGCGCGGCAGCACGCCTTCCTCTCGGGTGGCCTCACCTGGCAGACGGGCTGGTTCTTCATGACCTCCCGCGTCTCCAGCCGCACGAACTGCAGCATCTCCGCGACGTACTTGGCGAAGCACGGCTTGAGCAGCGCGGCCTCCGCGGGGCGCCGCTTCTCGAGCCAGCTCTGCACCACGGGCTCCCACCCGAGCTCGGTCTCGCTGATGTAGATGATGCCCGCCCGGGACACCGTCGCCGGCGACGCGTTCGCCAGGTTCTCCGGCTCGAACATCGCCTTCATCTGCCCGATCATCGGGATGCGGTCGCCGTTCGCCAAAGTGAGCACCTGAGGAGGTGCAATCCGCAGTTGCTGAGTACAGGCTGCATTTTTGTCGATCTGACAATCAAGAAGTGAGTGCTTTGTGGTCCTCACTTCCAGCGGTAGGCTACCCTTGTTCCTTGACATTTGATCCTTTGGATTATCAGAGAGCATGCAAACGAAAAACAGAAGCATTAGCGGGGTCAACGCGGGAACCTCACCCCCAACTGAGCGATCGGCCCTCTGACAGAACGGGCTTGAAGGAGCCACATTGAAGGCTTCAGAGTTTTGCGCATATCTCCAGCAACCAGATACCTATAGAAATGCAGATGGATTGCAGCGGCTGACCTTGTTGTCGTCGAGCACGGTGTTGAGGTTCTCGATCCAGATGGCGTCCACGGGCCCGTCCAGCACGATCCATGTGTTCTGGTTCTTGCTCTTGGCCGCCTTCCGCCACAGCACCGCGAAGATGCCGTCCGTCCAGTCCCCGGTCACCGGATCCAGACGCCCGAACATCTGGGGCGCCGTGATGGCCTTCGGGTTCATCCTCCAGATGACGTGTTTCGTCGTCACCTCGCTCAGCGCGGCCGCGAGGCACGTGGTGATGGCAGTCTTTCCGGCTCCGGTGGGGCCCACGACCATGATTCCGTGGCGCACCTGGTACGTCTCGTACAGCTGGATGCACTTCTGCAGCCAGCTCGGGTGCGGCTGCAGGCCCCGCTCTGCGACCTGCCGCAGCAGCGCGTCCTCGACCTGTAAAGAAAAGCTGGGTACTGTTAGCTCCACAGGGGCGTCTCTCGTGGAACATGGCAAACTGCGTCATGTGGAGCTGAGACATATGCGGCAAAAGGTCCTTTGATAATACGGACAAATGTGCATGTACGTCGATCCGAGGTCCGAACAGAAACGCTCTGCAACCAACGCTTGACAGCATTACAGTCAGAATAAGTGCCCAGATGGCCTTTCAAAAATGGTAGTCAATCAAGAAGGCACATCAAAACGTAGGGGCAGTCCAATTGCTTTATGTAATGGTGACTTGAACGTTCAAGGTCGGACGACAGCCCGTTGGAGCAAACGAAAGGCTCTCCACACTGCGCGCGCGCGCGCTCACCTCCTTGAAGGTGGCCTTCTCGGCCTTGATCCCAGGGAAGAGGTCCTCGATGAGCGAGAGGAAGAGCGGGACGTCCTCCGCGACGAACTTGGAGAGGTTCATGTCGCGCAGCGTGCGCATCATGAGGAACGTCTCACTCTTGTCCGGGTTCTGCCGCTTCTGCCCGCCCGCCGTGCGCAGCACCGACAGGATGTTGCGCAGCCCGAAGTCGTAGTGCGGCTGCTTGCTCAGCTGCTGCTCGCACAGGCCGTACAGCACGAAGAACTTCTTGGCCAAGATGTCGTTCTCCTGGAACCCGCACGCCGCCAGCTTCACCTGCGACACCGAATGTCATCGCGGGTCAGCACATTGACAAATGAGCGCTACGCTTCTCTCAGCTTTCGTAGTGACATGATCTTTCTGGAACGCATGTGGGCAGCTTGACGACTTGACGGAAGAAGAACTTCAAGCCAACAAATGGTGGTTGAAAACGTGCAAAGGGTGTGGGAGTCGAATGAGCACACAACAGGAACCTGAAACCAACCCTCTGCTGGGAGTGCGAGTCTTGAAAAGCCGAGGGCTGGCTGCGACTTCAGAGGAATGAGTGGTTTAAGCAGCTCTGGTCTGACCTTCATGATGATCTGTCTGTTGGGCACCATCATGGTGACGCCCCGGAAGAGCGACTTGAGGTTCTCCGGCAGCTCTTGCCGCCCCGCGTACCCGGGGTTCATCGTGATGAAGAAGCCCACGCGAGGATCCAGCGGCGTCAGCTGCACACATGAACACATTGGTTAGAGGAAAGAGCAAAGTAGCTTAAGATCCAAGAGCAAATGCGTTTCATATATGGAGATGAACCTTGTTCAAGAATGGCTGCCTTTCGGCGCCCGTTCTACTGAACATTTAGAACCTTCATTCTATGCCTTCTACCTCTTTCTCTATATCCTGATGTAGGAACGGTTTCGTTGTTCCGGTTCACGTCCAGCAAAACTTTCTCGTCAGATGCATGTAGAACAAGCCCGCAAGAGAGCCGGGCGAGCGGGCGCCGTGCGCTCACCGAGCCGTCGGTGAAGACGAAGTTGGACTTGCGCTCGCGGATGGCAGAGAGGACGCAGAAGATCTGCTGCGCGCACACGGAGAGGACGTCGAGGTTGATGCGGTTGAACTCGTCGAAGCAGCCCCAGAGGCCGCTCTGCGCGAGGCCCTTGTAGATCTTGCCCATGCCCTTGTAGTCCATCTGGTCGCTGCAGTTGAACACCACCACGAACTTGCCCAGCGTGCTGCACCACGCCCAAAACAGAAAGTCAGCGGAGCGGACACTCAGAAATGCACGATACGGCTAAAACGGAGCGCTCGACAAGCAAGCCCGAGACTGTTGGTTGTTTGGACTTGGTTTCCGAACTGAGTAACCTTTCAAGGTGTGATCTTCGTATGCAGTGTCTTTTAGCATTAACTGCTTGTTGACATCAAGAGATGAAAGAGCTCATAGAATTGAAAGCCCACGATCCGCTCCAAAACTCCCGGTCCACTGCAATAACCCTCTGCTCACCCAAGGATGACCGAAGGGACAGTGCTGAACCTGGCAAAAGTGGTAACGTTTCGAAGAAAAGCGTTTCATTGGCCAATTCACTGCACGTGCTATCGCTTTTCAATCGACGCTCACCTGCCCAGGTCCTTAGTGGTTTCCGTCTTTCCGGTTCCGGCCGGCCCGGCGGGCGCTCCGCCGAGGTACATGCCGAGCGCTTGCGAGAGCGTGACGTAGCAGCGGTCCGTGAGGGGCGTGATGACCAGGCGCTCCTTTACGCCTAGATACTCATAGCTGTACTCGAAGTCGACGTCGGCGATCGAGATGATCACGCCTGCAGCAAAAATTCATCGTATTTAGCATCTCAGAAGCGGCCACCATGCTCTGCTAAAAGAGAGTCGATTATGTTTCTTGTGTTCCCTTTGCGTCGCCCTCTGTACGACAAATCCTCCGATAACAGTTTACGTCGAGATTGTTCTTCTGTTAGTTCTCTGTACGGTTTAGGCTTCTCAGACTTCTGTGTCCTGCTTATTGGCAAATTCAGATTCCTTCAGTACTTTTGGTCCATGACTGGAGGCAAAGTCACGAAGTATGAAACCCGTGAGGGTAAATCTGAAGCAACCCACCGTCGATGTCCTCCCGCCAGTAGAAGCGGCACTGCTTGAGCCACTCGAAGTCGCTGGGCTCCTTGACCTTCTTCCGCACCAGGTCCTCGAACGTGTCCCGCTGGTGCACGTGGACGGTCACGATCGTCTCCACGTTGGTCCTGTCGTTCTTGGACAGGTCGCGCGTGGTGATGTCCACCAGCTCGCGCAGCAGCGTGTCGCACTTCTTCACGGCCTTCGCCATCACCGCCTTGTCGTTCTTCGCGGCCGCCAGCGCGGTCTGGCTGTCGGCCGTCCACTGGAACTGGATGCCCAGCAGGGCCACCTACACAGAGCAGGACCACCAAAAAGGGATTTGTAACATAGACTGCACGCTTCGACACTCTTCCTTTTCAGACACGTATCTCAACAACTGATAACAGGACCTTGCATAAGACCATCTTGGTCCATCTTATCTAGATAAAAAAGCGGGATTGCAGACTCAGCGGGCGGAAAAGAATACTATTACGCCTTTGCGGCGAGCAGCTAAGAGAAAGCTTTTCATAGTGGAACAAAAGTGCGGGAAGAAGGAAAAGAAAGGACCACTGGGATTTATGCCTCCCACGCACGTGTGCTTCCTGATTTGCGTTGGGGTCTAAAATTTATGATTGATACTGGCAGTGAACAAACATCACCCCTACAACTGAAGCCAGGCTTTTTCTGAAGGAGCGCCCACCTGCGCTGGGTAGCTGAAGATGAACTTTTCGACGGGCAGCGCGTTGACCTCCTCCCAGGACTTGCGGATGATCTTCTTGATGGTGTCCTGCATGCCGGCCACCATCTTCTTGAGCCAGTCCTCGATGTTGCCCACCGCCGACACCGGCTCCGCTAGCTTCACCTGCACGCGCGCCAAAGAACTAGCCACGTCAGCAAGTGCGCACGTTGTTGAAAGTCAGTGAGTGTCAAAGAGGCGCCAAAACGACGACTTATTTTTAGTGAGTGAGACACGGCTCTCACGTGGCAAGCGAGCGCACAGCTTGGGGCAGAGCGGAAACATTCAGATGCGATTGTCGGTTGTCGTGTTGCGCTCTCGAGCTTCTATTGAAGTGATTGGGTGCTGCCTCCTAATAAGCTTAGAACGCCGCACGATTTCGGCTGCCAGCTTTCATGAGAAGGTAGCACGTATGCGGAGGAACCAGGTCAAAAGGACTGATTCCCAGGGGCGCTCGCACAGCAAGAGGGCGGAGCCGACTCGCCTTCTCGCCCTGCACGCTGTGCAGCTCGGTGATCTTGGTTTTGTCGGCGCGGTCGAAGGTGACGGCGGCGACGGAGTCGAAGAGGCCGCTCTGGAAGTGCGGCTGGACGGCCTGCGGGTCGCTGCCCAGGCTCAGGATCTCGAGCAGCGTCGGGTCGGAGACGAAGTAGAAGCGCGGGAAGTCGGCGCGCTTGGTCTCCAGGTACGCGGAGAGGCTCTTCTGGCACAGCTCCAGCTGCTCCGTCAGGTGCGGCAGCAGGTTCTTCATCAGCTCGTTGCCGTAGCACGTCTGCACCACGTTCTTCACGTCGAACGCGTTGCTCACGATCTTCATGTAGTTCTTGTCGATGTTCTGGAAGCGCTTGGCCTCCTGCGGCAGCTGCTTCGCGATATCGCCGCCCGAGAAGACGGCCTCCATGTACATCCACATGTTCTGCACCTGCATCCACATCTCGATGATCTCGCTCACCGTCGACAGCTTCACGATCCACCTGCGGGCACGAGAAAACGAGGGCAGGGATCAGTGAGGGGAATGCCGGGGACTACAATCTACTCAGATCACGGCTGAGCGAGGCGGCGAATCAGATCGTCGCCGGGTACCCATACCATTGATAGTTTCGAGCAGAGTTTGTTAGTTGCACTCGATGACAAGGCCTGGGGGAGAACTATGACCGGCCAGGATGTTCGGGACTAATGTTTGCTTAAATCATCTTCTGGCGACTGGAAAGTTTTAAGGTTCCGCAATTACTTCGATTTTCGGTCGTTAGAAAGTGCCAGACGTAAAGGTACCACTTTGTCTTTACTACTCTTCTTTGGCCCCTGCTTTAGCCTCCTGCAAGTTGGACATCCAGAAACCCTTGGGAGCAAGCTTCTCGTCACCTCAAGATCCGTTGCTGCAATCGGTTCTGACTAAAACAGCGGCCTTCGGCGCGCCTCACCCGTTGACCTCTTCCCTGAAGGGCCCGCTGTACCGGTTGGCCGCCATGGAGCCGAGCGCCATCTGGCTGTCCTCCAGCCGCTCCACCACCTCCGCCGTCTCCGCCGCTTTCAGCGTCACCAGGCCGCGCGCCTTGTAGTTGCTGAACGTGAACATCTGCTCCGCCCACTCGTCCGCGATCGCCAGCAGCTTGCTCTCCACCTGCTCCTCTTTCACGGCCGCCGTGCACAGCTCCTCGATGTCCTCCGCGTGCGACAGCAGGTCGCAGTCCAGCAGGTGCGCCAGCTTCAGCACGTCCTCCGCCAAGTTCAGCGTCTTGCCCGTCGTGTGCATCAACTGGAAAGGAGACAAACAATGGTTGGTCAAGGCTCATCCAACTTGAGATTAAGAATTTAGCTTCTTCGTTTTTGGCAAAATAGGCAGCCTGTAAGCTTCCCAAAGAGGAAGAAAAGCCACCGTCGATATGTGAGTATCCTGCCAAATGCTGATTTTACCTGCCGTGACCTTTGAGCCAGCCTGCCATCTGGACGCAATGCAGTCAAAATGCAGCCTCTACGGGTCAGTATCAACTTGCACCCTCTTTGCTTGTCAGGAACTTCAATAACTTGAAACGTTTTTGCTATTCCCCGCGCTCACCTGCATCCAGTGCCTGTTGCGCATGGCCTTGGTGGAGAGCAGCTGCAGCAGCGGGAGGAGCTGCAGGAAGTCGTCGATGGTCTTGCGGCACACTTCAAACGCCTGCCAGTCGCGCAGCGCCTTGGGCAGCTTCTTGCACGCGTCCTGCAGGAAGAGAGCCAGCGGGCCATGTAACACCCACGTCATCCAGGACATTCCGCATCGAGAAAGCTTCATCGGAGAAACCTCTAGTAGCTTACTCGGAGACTCGATGAATTTACAACTTCTGTTCAAGAATCACAAAGTTGAAAATCACAATGGCACCTGCTTTTAGTTGAACACAAGGATGCCGACTCTCGCTAGCCTGGCCCAGAGAGACGAGCTCCTTATTGAGCTTGAACTAAAAGGCTACCGCAGCCGATCTAGAATAGCGAATCTGCTCTTAAAATCCGAGAGAGACTTGTTTGCTCCTTCGCCCGACGTGCCCACCTGGAATCCGAGGACCTGCTCCTGCATGTGGTCGATGCCGGAGACGACCTCGACCCAGAAGACGTCGGCGTAGCCGTTGATGGTGGAGATGACGGAGGTGTACAGGCTGTAGAGCCGGTCCAGCAGCAGCAGCTCCTTCTCCGTGCGCTCCAGCTCCGGGTACGCCGTCACCGGCAGACCGAACAGCTCCTCGCCGCTGCTGTAGTTCACCCACTTGCGCTTGCGCACCTGCGGCCACGTAAGCGGTGTATCGTGTCAAAACTGAAGGCAGCTGACTGGCTGACAGAGTGCCCTCAAAGGCAAGAGCTTCGTGCAAAGGTACAGTCGTGAGAGAAGATCACCAAGGAGAAGCAAGAGACAGCGTCTTGATGCAGGTAAAGCATGCAAAGGTCGAGCAACACTTTTGGAAGAAAAAGGATAGTAGGGAGCAAAAGCAACACAATCATCCGGAAGCTCACCTCGAAGAGGCCCTGGTACTTTTTGAGGCGGTCGACGGCCTCGGCGGGCGTGAGGCCGGGCAGCATGGGCCCGTTGGCCTCGAAGTCGGCGCGGAAGGCGGTGACGTCCGTGACGAAGGCCTTGACCTCCTTGATGAGCTCGCGCTTGAAGCCGACCTGCAGCTTGGCCAGCCCGTCGCTGACGTCCACCGCCAGCTTGCGCAGCTTCTTCCAGCTGTACCGCAAGTCGCCCACCTGGTCGCTCTCCTCCTTCGGCACGCGCACCTCGTACCTGCGGAGCGCAGGGGTTTCAGGTTGTGAAAACTGAACTGTCACTTTCGAATGTGATTTTGGCCCAGGATATACACTCGTATGTCGCTCGCATGTAAAGAGCTGACGCACACAACGACAGGCATCTGAAGTTTTGACCGGGGTTCTAGTCAGCATAAGAAAAGTTGGAGTCTCTACGTGGCAAAACTTGGAATGGTCAGCTTTGCCTTCCCTCTTTCTCGACCTTATTCACAAAATTGACGCCCGCGGGATCTCATGTGCGGAGAGACGAATGAATTGGCCTGAAGACCTAGCCGTGCATCAACGCCAGATTTCTTTTGAGATGACGAGACCCTCGCAACTTGGGACCAGGAAACCAAATCGGTTCAGGAAACCAAATCGGTTATCCATACCTCCGCCGCGGGCCGTCGTACTTTGTCCACCTTCTGAGCCTCCATTTTCTAGCCTAGTGCCCGAAGCATCTCCAGAAACGCCCTGCCGCTCACCTCATGAGCAGGGAGTACATTTCCTCTATGGGCGTGAGGATGGCGTCGATCTCGGCCTCGCGGTCGCGGATCTCCTTGAGCACGCCCATGACCGCGCGCACGTCCTCCAGGTCCTGCACCTGGCGCGCGAGCTTGATGGTCGTCTCGCGCATGTAGTTGTTGATGGCCTTCAGGTCCTCGAAGCCCTGGCGGTGCAGGTTCTTGGCGAACTGCGCCTTCCACGACGCCGCCTCCGCCTTCAAGCTGTACTTCATGGGCTGCGTCTCCAGCGAGATTGCGCCGATGTTGTGCACCGGTGCAATCATTGCAATCTCCTGCAGGGGTTTCAAATACTTCTTGCTAAGTCTAAATTCAACCTGGAACGGAACTGGGATATGATTACTGCAACTCCAAGATGAAGAAGACGGTGGCCGGGAACAACAGTTGTGCCAGAAGCTGCTCTTGACTCCTCTTGAATCCTCGCCTTCCTTGGGGCTACTCGATGCCCCAGTGAATACCATATTGCCCTTCTTCACAATTTTGTAAGTCTTTGATCAGGTTCCCTCTCACGCGGAAGCCGCAGCATCCAGGTCAAGAACAGCGTATGCTTTTCAAATCTGCTGCAAGCAGCCGGCAAGAATCAGGTGGATGATGCGGACCGTTACCGCAGCCCGTTTCCCGCCAGCATCATGTCGCTGCAATCAACAAACCAGCCAGCGAGAAAGCCCCGCACCTGTTCGATGGCCATGTATTTGCGCAGCTCGTTCTCGAAGGCCTCCAGCGTGGGCTGCGTCTTCATGAACTCGCTGTACTCGGCCTGCATGTCGTGCTTCCACAGGAAGTTGTACTTGTCGAACATGGACACGTACGCCATCACCTGGTGCTTCGTCCCCTCGATGCTGCCCGTCAGCAGCAGCACGCTCTTCACGATCTCCTTGTCGGACGCCAGGTAGTCGAAGAAGCTGTTGGGGCTGTTCCCGGACGTGTGCTCCGCGTTCCACGCGCGCAGCTCCTTGGAGCAGGAGAGCACCTTCTTGGCGGTCGTGTTGATGGCGTCCTGGATGTCCTCCAGCGACGGGTTCATGCTCACGTTCGGGATCGTCAGCTCCACGTCCACCTCGAAGAACGGCCGCTCCACGAACAAAAACCCGCCCGACACGCGCGACCTGCGGACAAAGTGAATTTGATTTAGCCTCGTTCTAAAGGTGGTGGCAGCTTAGCAAAGTCAAACCTGGGCCTAAAAGCAGCCACAGCGAGATACTTTGCAGGTGCTCGTTTCCGCCTATCTTGCAACGATATCGAACGCATTGCGGGATAAAGATTGCAATTCGTACAACCCCGACGAGCTCTTCGTCGAGCGAAGGCTTCACAATCAAAAGCCTGCCAAGCACAAGACCACGAAGCAGAATCTTGTCCGACACAACCTTCTCCAGCTTCAGCCTCAGGTCGGCTGCTCCTCAAGCTGCAAATCTGAAGGAGCGGGAGTGCTTATATATCTCACCCAAGGCGGCTCTTCATCTTGTTGAACGAGTTCTTGGTCGCCGCCAGGATGGCCTGGTACATGAGCTTGCTGTAGTAGTTCTTGAACCGGGCAACCTCGGCGGCGGGGATGTGCATGTCCTCGTTCTCGCGCGGGAAGCCGGCCGCGAGCTCGATCAGATCGCTCACGGCGCGCTCCACCTGGCAAAACGTGCGAGCTTTGATTTGAGCCTCTACTTGTTATAAGCATCGAGTCTCGCAGCAGTAACCTCTCCTCTTTTGCACACCGGCAAAAGTTGCTTCTGCTCCTCCAGACCGAATAGTCTGAGCTATGCTTCACCGAACAGGCATTTCCTCTGAAGTCAGGTTTGCGGAGGAAGGAACAAGTGACTGAGCGTTGAGCGTCACCAGGAGAACCGAAGCTGAGTTACAGACGAGGCAGACACTTGCGATGCTAGAACATTCAGATTCGCAATTTGGAAATTCTTCGCGCTGCTCTTGGAACGATCATTTGCGCTTCGAAGGTAGTAAGCCACATTAGATCTCGGGCTCCTTCTCAACCCGGGTGAGCGCTCACCTCGCGGTTCCTGATCTCCATGAACTCGGACTGGCGCTTGATGAAGCGCGACTGCGTGGTGACGAAGTCCTCGAAGGTGAAGGAGCGGTCGGGCGGGAGGTCGATCAGCACGTTCTTGCTGATGGCCTTAAGATTGGCGTCGATGCGGTTGTCCACGATGTCGTTGATCTTGCGGATCAAATCCTCCAGCCGCTGCAGCCCGTTGTGGATGCGGTGCAGGTACCTGACGAAAAGAAAATCGCGGGTTAAGTGTGCTGCTTTTCGATGCGAGACACTTTGACTTGACATCTGTTCTTGGCGCGTATCACATGCAAGTGGTTTCCGCAAAGAGGCTCCACGGCTAAAGGTCAGCAAAGGCGCGCATCTAATGACAGCAACACAAAGCTAAGTACGACCAGAAAAGCTTCTTCACGCGGACGGCTGGT